TTCTTAGAAGTTTGCAAAACTTCTTCATGACAAGCTTGACTTCATCATCATCGCTTGAGTCATTCATTGTCGGTTCTTTGGAGGCTTTTAATGCTATGCCTTTTCTCTGGTCATTCAAAGACGGGTTAAGTATAGTAGATTCATACGTTTTTAAGTTACCTCTTAAACCGTCGATGGTGACATTTGATGTGCCGATTGACTCATAGATGGCATCGGCCTTAGATCGCCATTCGGATGTCAAGCTCCGTAGGATCTTTCGCACAAGATCCCTGTCGGTGTAGGTCTTCTTCAAAGCATGAAGATCGTTGACTATCTTGGAGAATCGGTCGAACATGTCGTCGATGTTTTCGTGCTCCTTCATTCTAAACATCTCATACTCTTGGGTGAGGAAGTCGATCTTGGCTTCCTGTACTTGGTCCGTTCCTTCGTACGTCACCTCAAGTTTATCCCACATCTCCTTGGCGGTTGAGCAGCAAGAGATTTTGCGGTAGTCATCAGGATTTACGGCACAATAAAGCATGTTTATTTCCTTTGCATAATTCTCAACCTTTTTGATGTCCTCCGCATCAAATTCATCTTCAGTCTTGGGGATCAATTTGTCCTCGACTTTCTTCATCGGCACCTCTTCCCCGTTTTTGATAACCAACCATAATTGGAAGTTCGTGGAACGAATATAGATTCTCATTCGTTCTTTCCAATATGTATAATTGGTTCCATCAAAAAGAGGTGGTCGTGTGGTTGATTGCCCTTCACCTATTCCTGCATACAAATTTCTAGAAGAAGAACCCATGATCGCTTTTACTCTCAAACGGTTAAGTTTGGACACGAGTTAGGCTCCGATACCAATTGTTAGAATAAGTGCCCTTCACTAGAGGGGGGGTGAATAGTGAGGCACGAGAATGTTTATAAATTTTTGCAGAATAAAAATCACAGGGATAAAGTAAAGAGCGGAATAAAAAAGCGTAAGGGAAGAACACACCAAATTTACCCTTGTTCACCACAACTTGTGGCTAATCCAGCCTCCCGAGAGACTCTCTCGAGCTACACTACTTCCGTTAAGCTTACGGGTGCTTAACAAACCGTTACAACCTGAGAACTCGAGTCCCACGAGCCTCAACAACACTTGCTCGGAGATACCGCACTCCAAGACTTCAACCCGAAGGAAAGTACCTTTCCCTCGCACAACCAAGG